TGTCCAGTTGGGGGAGCTCCTGGCCTTGTTAAAAATCTTTCAAGTCTACCAGATTGAGCTGCTCAATATATTCTCTGACAGCCAGTATGCGGTTCAGGCCCTCAGATGTCTTCCCTTTGTTCGGGTAAAAGGCCACAAGGATCCCATCACTAGAACGATGAGAGCTCTCCAGATTATCTTAGATAACAGACGATGGCCCTGGCACATCTCCCACATAAGATCACATACCAAGCTCCCTGGGATCTTGGCAAAGGGAAATGACAAAGTAGATAAACTTATTATGTCTGTAGAGATTCCTCTGCTAGAACAAGCCAGAGCCTTACACCAACAATTTCACCTTTCTCCTCACAGTCTGTGCCACCTTCTACCCGACGTACCCATCTCTCAATGCAAACATCTGAGCAGATCTTGTGTTACATGTGCACCCCTTGCTCCCTTAGGCCCCCTCAATCGATATGGAGGGTCTCCTACCCAATACCTATTCCTGACAGGCATCATTATTCTTCTCTTCCTAATTCTTAAATGCCTTGTTCTTCATTCCCGCAGTCAGAGAAAATTCAATCACTCGGTGTATCAGGCCCTCAGAGCAATTCATGAAGAAGATTTCAACCCACCCTATGCAGCCTGACAGACTTGGCTTGCACAAATGTATGAGGCCTCCTACAGATAATTCCCCACCTCGGCTGATCCCCCATGATGATACCCCTTGGAGGGCTGGTAACCAATGATGGGTAAGATCCTGTTGGGCTGAATCAACCTAAGCCAGGACATGGATGTGTATGTCCATGCTCCAATGACAGGTAAGGTTCATGCCCGAATAGGACAACCTAAGACAGGCACAGTCCATGATCCTGGGGTCATCCCGAGGCAGAGCTGCCTACAGGCTCTTGCTGGACAGTCATTTTTAAAGAAAAAGGGTGGAAATGTCGCAGGAGGCCTCCAAAAATGGCGCGGACCCAGAGCCCTGGGATTCAGCGAGAATACACTTCACTTCTTGGTCTGCAAATAGTCTGCCAAAATGAGCCCATGCCTCTGTACCCTGGGAGACCAGTGACTGCTGACAGACTGCATGGCGCGGACCAATCAGAAAACAATATGCTGACTAAAGGGACTTGGGGGTGGAGAAAAGGGAGATATAAGGTGTGCTTCCTCCTGCATTAAACGAGTCTGCAGCACCTCGCCTAGTGCTTGTTTCTACCCGACTCCCGGGGTCTGTGTGTTGTGACTCCACACCTCTTACCCCCTAATCGGCAGGGGACCCAATCCAGGTTAGGGTCTTCACAGCTGGCCTAACCTGTAACAGACCAGAAACCCACCAAAGTGGGAAGAAACTGAAAGAGAACCAATATTTCAAAGTAAAGGTCATAACTAAATGTGATTCCCATATGTAAGGCTTTTAGCTACAGGGTAGGCCTAAGTCATGATCCTGATTGGTGTGACTCTCATTGGCTTGAAGACCAGAATACAAAGTTCAGGGTTTTCACATCAGCTACAAAGTATGGAGAGTAACATCCTGGAATGGAGAGAGCCTAATAAGGTAGAGCCCAAATTCTGCATATAAACGTGCCCATATTTCTTGCTAACCTCTGAACTATGTACACGTAGAGCCATCTATAAACAGAACAGGTAAGGCTAAATGAATTCAATAGAGATTTTGGTTGTTCTTCCGAGAGGCTGAGTATGGTGTCTGAGTTCAGTCTAATTAACTGCTTGCTAGAACAAAAGCATAACATTAATACTCTTCATGTAATATAGTATCAGTCCTCTATAGTATCTAAGTGACAAGTTCTAATGATTGGATTTACACAGGAAACAGGAAAATGTCACCCATATCTAATCAAGGCAGAAGAATTCAGTCCTTAATAATGTGTGTTAGACAACAGGGCAGTTAAACACACAGCAGTTGTAACAGTATGCACAAGACCTGTGCCAGCCCAAGTCAGACAAATCTTAGCATGGAGAGGAAGGGTGGACAAGAAGCCCCATACCTAGCTGAACAAATATTGGTAATTGCTCTGGGAGATGGACCCCCACCCAAGAGCATCTGGGGGACACAAACTAGATTCAATAGTCTTAAAAAATAATATAGGACACGACTGAGAAGGGTTAGGAAGGTAGGGATGGATCTGAGAGGAAACAGCGGAGGGAGTTCGAATATGAACAAAATACATTGTATAAAATTCTCAAAGAATCAATAAAATTTTATTTAAAAAACAAAAGATGAAATAAAAATTATTTTAAAAGAATGCATGTTAGAGGCCAGATTTGGTGGCATATACCTTTAATCCCAGCACTTGGAAGGCAGAGACAGGTGGATCTCTATAAATTCAAGGCCAGCCTGGTCTATACAGAGTTCCAAGCCAGCCAGAGCTACAAACTGAGACTCTGTCTCAAAAACAAAAACAAAATAAGAAACAAAAAAAAGATATGTGTTAGAGTCAGGCCTAGTAGCATAGGCATATAATCTCAGCTACTTGGGAGGCTGTGGCAGGAGGATCACAAGTTCAAGGCCTGCCTAGGCTATAAAACAAGTACAAGGTTAGCCTATGTAAGTCAGCGAGACTTATCAAGATAAAAAGAATAAATAAATAAATAAATAAATAAATAAATAAATAAGGGCTGGGTATTTGGATCAGTAGTAGAGTGTTTGTTAAAGACCCTAGGTTCAATTTCTGGTATTTGGAAAAAATGTGGATGAGAGCCAAATCACCTGAGTTTGGAATCTAGGCGCTTCTAATTACTAGCTCTGTTCATCAAATGTCTTTATCTCTGTGTTCCTGCTTTATCATGCACAAAATGATGTTAATGATTCTATTTCATAGGTTTGTTGTGAGGATTTAAAAAGATAACTCAGACATGCATTAACAGTGCCTAGTACGTGGCTCATCGAGTGTTAGCTATTGTTTTCAGGACTTGCCAGTTTTAGCTAGCAAAAATCTTCAAAGATGGTGCCTTTCCCGAAGTGACCCTTAACTTCTTTTTAGTGACTCCTGTCTCCATTCCCATTCCTCCACAGAAGCCTCATGCTGCTTCAGTCTGACTTTTGTAAAACCTCGCTTTGACCAGGTCACTCCTACTTGTAAATAATTAATGGCTCTCATATTTTCTAAAAAATACAGTCCAGAATCCTTTAGCCTGGTAACCAAAGTCCTTTTGGATAAGGCCTAACTGCTCTTTCTGGTCTCACCTCCTGTAACTCCTCCACAACACTCTGTATCTTAGCCTCACTGAACTCTTCCTTATTACCATTACCTCTCTGACTGTAAAGTATCACTCACACCTGTTCTTTCCCTCTTGAACTCTCTCCTGTTTTAGCTTCAATGACACCACACTATCCTCCTACCTCTTTGTCTATTCCTTTTCTGTCATTCCACTGAGCATCTCATTCTTCAAGTACTTGATAAATGCAAGGGTTTCCCAGAGTTCCATACTTAGCTTACTTCCTACTTGTTTACATGTTCTATTTGTGGATGAGCTCATTTAACCTATGTGCTCATTGCTCTCAGATCTTCACGTCTGACTTCTCTCTTGAGTTTTGGTCTCTCGAATCCTGATAGATGACATATTCCAAGCAGTCACCTCAACCTTAGAATAGCCCGGCCTAGACTCATCTCCCCTACCTCAAACCTGCCTTCTCTTTTTTGCTCTGAATCTTCTAAGAGCACTGCTATTACCCTGGCCTGAAAACTCTTCATTGTCCACACAGAAAGAGTTCCTAAATCCCGCCAACTTGCATTCTCAGTAACTCTCCATTCCATCTCTTCTTCACACTCACCACCATCACCCTAGTTCTGACCTTCCTCTTCTCTAGCAAGAACTCTGCAATAGTCTCCTCCCTGCCTCCAGTCTTCCATGTATCCAAACCAACTGGCAACCCTTATCTACCTCCAGTGAAGTCCTTATCATGTTATATCCATGCTATAAAAAATTCACTGGTTCCTACAGTTAGAACAAATCATTCTGTTTCCTATGCTAGATATAAGGAATGCAATGTTGAACACAAAATGGACCCTGCCTTTTAGTGAATTTTCCAACCGTCTGAGAAGGGAGATATATAAACTCACACTAACAGCACAAGGTGTGTGACAGGTATACTCATAAAGCATTATAAGCACACAAGAGGGAATACCTTGAGGACAAACACTATTTCCTCCTAACATTTTAAACCATAATAAGAGGAATGATCGATTAACTAGAGAATGTTATCCGAATACTGAGCAAGTATTCTTCTCTGATCCTGAGCTTCCCTCTACATAAAATGCCCCAAAGTTCATACTTCAAATGAATTCAATGAATAAACCTTTTTTGAATCCTGATTTAAATAAGCAAGCTGCCATTTAAAGAAAAATGAGGCAACCAAGTAAACTTGAATACTGGCTAGATATGATTATAATATTCTGAATTTTAAAAGTTTCATAATAATATTGCCAATTTAAAAGCCATTATCTTCTAGAAGTAGGAAGGAAAGTATTCTAAAATAAATGGTGCCTGCAAGATGCCTGAAAATAATCCAGAAGTGTTGAGTAGGCTATATATTTGAAATAATACTGGCAATGCCTATGCTAATAATTGCTAAATCATAGTGGTGGATAAGATGCCAAAATTAATCTCTCATGGTTTCATATTTTCATAGCAATTAAGCTAAATGATAATATAAAATGTATGATTATAGTGCATGATGCCTAAAAAGTTATTTCTTTTGCTTTTCTCCTCATCCTTGAAACTCCATTCCTGTGGGAGAAAGTCTCGGAGAAAAGATCAGTGTTACGGGAATTAAAATTTCAACATCTGAAGATCTGGAAGCATTCTGAGCAGCACTTTTCTCTTCTGCCTGATAATGACACAGCAGGTACAGCACCGCAGGGCTCCGAAACAACCTTGAGCAATAGTGAAGGCGTTTCAAAACCAACGGAATAAAGAGAAATAAAGCATTACCTGAAATGTAGACAGGACAGAAAAACGGATGTGGACATAAACATGGCTTCTTTGCTGGAATAGGGTTGGTCTTTTCCTGTGCTGACTGAATCCATATGCAATTTCGCCACCTGGTGGCTATCTAGAATCATTTCATTCAGTTGCTAGGTGCACTTTTATTCTGCAAACGCTGACTGTTCTGGAAGGGAATAAAACCTCTGAGTGAAGTAGTCCGAGTCATTTAAAAATAAACATAGTTTCCTCATATCTTACAATGCGTCTTGAAGATCATAAATTTCGTTTATAATTGAGGATTATGAACATTCAGTCATCCGTTTACAGTTTCTTTTCCTTTTTTTTTTTTTAGAGCCATGCCAAGAACAGACACTGAGTTAGGCATAGGAAGCACAATTGAGCAGGCAAACAAAAAATTAAGTACACACACAGAGCACTGAAATGGCCACGTTTAAAAACACTATAAAAGCTATATCAACTTTATATATAAACTTATATTTTTTTATTTGGTACTGTGGATTGAACCCAGGAATTTGTGCTTGCCAAAATACACAATCTACCACTAAGCTAAACATCTAGCCCAGGAATTTGAGGTCAGCCTGAGAAATATAGCAAGACACATCTTTAAAAAAAATTCTATTCCAAGAACACTTAAACGGCATTTAAGCTTTGTATGTTTGGTATCTAAATTCATGGCTGGGTCCACCAACTGATTGATTTTTCTCCCTTAGCAGATTGCATAGTGCCCTCCACAACTATGAGAGCTAGCCTTCAGGGAGGAAGCTTCCAGGTCAGCTCTCCAGTTCCAGTGCTCCAAGTCCTGTGTCTGAAGTATGTCCTGTCTTCAGCAATAGGGTCTTACCTTTAAGTTCTGGGAGATAATCAAGAGTTGTGCCAATAGCCTGTCTAATTTTGGGAGTCTCTTGGACTGTCTTGACTAACAACTTGAAGGGAGGTTTCTCCTATCTGGCGCTGTTTCTTGTTATAGATCCTTCAGCTATACACATGTCTGATGAACAAATATTGTGTGTTTTTCAGTAGACTTTCGAACTAATACATTTCCCTTGGAGAGACTTTTTCATTTCCTCTCTGGCATTTCCTGTGAGGCTCCTAAATCCTAAGGCACTGTTTCCATCTAAGTATCTTCCTGACTCCTTGTATAGATGTAGAACAGACCTAGGCCAATCTGGATGTTTTTTGTTATTTTATGAGTATCTGTGTGTTTGATTTGGGGTTTCATTTGTTTTGCTTTATAATCTACCTGGGGAGAGAGTTGAGGGGGGCAGCCTGATGGAAGTCTAAAATCAGTGAAGTGTGTCCTGGCCATTTTCAGTATGATGGGAGGGTATCAAGGGTTGGAGTCACTTAGGCTGTCACCTTCCAGGAGACTCTTTAACACCAGTCTGTGAAAGGAGGCCTCAAATAAAGCTTGGGTACAAGAGCATTTCTGAGTCTCTCTGTGTACTTGAGCTTAAAAAATGATTATATCTTCTAAGGAGAGAGGAAATTTATTATGGATGGAAAAAAAACTATCTACTATACCTTCTTGGTTCTGACTTCTCATACTGATCTTTCTCTGTCAATTATTATGTCACAAATGTCTTTTATTCTACATAATTACCAGAAATTAGAAATACCCCTTTTATGTTGTTGATTCAGATGGGAATGAAAGTTTACTTGTAAATGAATACTTGCTTAAATATAACTCCTAAAAAGATTTTAATTGAAAGAAGATAATTTTATCATTTTAAACTTTATGGTACAAAGCATTTTGACAACTACAGTTGAAGGAAAACGCCTTTGTTTAGTTTAGGAAGATCATCTTTAATCTACCATCCAAACACATACCAAAAGACAACACAAACAAATTTCTTTTTGTTGTTGTTTTTGAGACAGAGTCTTACCATGCAGACCTGGCTGGCTTCAATCTCACAAAGATCCATCTGCCTCTGCCTCCTGAGTGCTGGGATTAAAGGCATATGCCACCACGCCCAGCATTGACAAATCTTTTTTAGGACAGTCAAACAATGCCTATAGCTGCAAAAGTGACCTAAAAATTATTGGAGAAAAAAATACGACTTTCGTCTGAATAATTTTCTTTTACCCTAAAAGCAAGAAAAATAAACAGACAGCCAGAGTTGTGGCACACACCTTTAATCCCAGCATGCGGGAGGCAAAGGCAATCAGATCTCTGGGAGACAGAGGTCAGCCTGGTCTACATAACAAGTTCCATTCCAGTACAGCTGGGGCTAGAGAGAGATCCTGTATCCAAAAAATTTTTTTAAATGAACACAGAACCTCAAGAGACATTTCTTGAAAGAAGACATATGTGACTAATAGGTATATGAAGAAATGCTCACAAATGAAATGATACAGATGGAGGGGCACATTTCTCTGGTGTACTGGTCAATTATCAAAATCAGTTAAAATGATTACTTGTGTTAACACTACTTTATTTTTGTAATTAAAAATTGTTTTTTGAGACAAGGTCTTGCTATTTGGTCCTGGTTGGCTTGGAACTTGCTATTTAGCCCTGGCTATTCTTGAATTCATGAACCTAATGTGTCAGGCTCATGAGTGCTGGGATTACAGGTGTGTGCTACCACACAAGGCAAATGATAGTTTCTATAAATTCACACTTAGGTGCAAACAAAATAAATCTTCATTTGCATATATAGTTTGGTATGATTGAAGAAATCACCCCATTTTTGAACATATAACAGGCTCTTTGGATCACCTGATGAGTCAGCTGAGAGACAGATTCCTGTTCTGCTTCCCCAGTGTTGTGCCATCACACCTAATAAAAGGCTTCTTCTCAAGGGGTCATTTCTTTTATGCTTATAGTTATGTTGGGGCTGCAGTATTAACAGGAAGAAAGAAATGACAGAGCAGCTGCTGCAGGGACACATAGTCAGAAGCTCCTGATGCCAAAGTGGCAAGGTGGACAGATGCCTTACAGATGAAGATGAAGGGCTTAGACATCATCAGGCCAAGGTGCAAAAGTGGAAAGGCAGTTGGCTGATGGCAGCTGAGGAAGAAGCAGATGGAGTAGAACAAATGGGGCAGTGGAAATAGGGAGGATGGAGAGCTGAGTCTGGAAAAAATTAGAAGGCTGTAAAGAGCCAGAAAGGAATCAAGACACCTGCTGCTAAATAAGTCATTCTAGATGCAATAAGGAAGATACACTAATGAAATGTCCACAGTATGGTAGTTGAACAAGATCTGCATATAATAACAAAACCAATTGACATACCAAAGTGGATGGAGAAAATCTGAAGGGGACCCACCTCAAGATGAAGAGCTGCAGGCAATCAATGGATGCTGAGGGATGGAGAATCAATTTTCTCTAGGGACTAGCTCCCTGAGACGTTATGTAACTCCAAGTGGGCAGTCCTAAACACAGGTACATAGGAGCATCACTGAGAGGGAGTGGGGGTGGGGTAAGTGGGAAGATTTGGAGAGTGGCTGGGAGGGATGGAAATGGTGCCAAATCTATACACATGTATGATTCACAAACTTTTTTTAAAAGAGAAAAGAAAAGGCCTTTGGGGCCTGGAGAAATGGCTCAGGGGTGAAGAGCACTGACTGCTTTGATTCCAAGTACCCACGTGGCAGCTAACAACCATCCATAACTCCAGTTCCAGGGGATCGGACACACTCCTCTGAACTCTGCAGGCATCGCATGACACAGTGCACTTACACAAATGCAGGAAATACATTCATACACATAAAATAAAAATGACAAAATGTTTTTTTAAAAAAGGATCTTTGAAAAAATCCAACATGCCTCTATAATAAAAATCCTAGACAAATAGAACTAGAGGGAACACATCTCAACATAGTAAAGGTTGTGTGTAACAAACCCACAGTCAATATCAAGAAAAACTCAAAGCAATGCCACTAAAATCAGGAATGAGATAGGTCTCTCCACTATTCCCACTCATTTTCTAGCTAAGGAATAAGACAAGAGAAGGAAATTAAAGCAATACCAATAGGAAAAGAAGTCAAAAGATCTCTATTTGCAGACATATTATTTTTAATATTTTATTTATTTGTATTTTAGGTGTATGAGCATTTTACCTGAATGTTTTAAGTGCACCACATGTACCTTGTGTCCACAGAAGCTAGAATACAGTATCAGAGCCCCCCTGGAGTTACAGAATTATAGTAATAAAAAAGTCTTGTATGTCAATGGAATAAAATTGAAGGCCCAAACATGAATGGATGTAATTACAGCCACCTGATATTTGACAAAGGTGCCAAGAACACACAGTGGAGGAAAGACAGTATCTTCAACAAATGGTGCTGGCAAAACTGGATGTGCACACATAGAAGAATGAAATTAGACCCATATCTATCACTCTGTACAAAAATAAACTCCAAATGGATCAAAGGCCTCCATGTAAAACCTAAAACACTGAAATTGAGGGAAGAAAATATAGGCAGTATCCTCCAAGGCAGAAGTACAGGAAAGGGCTCTCTGATTAAGTCTCCATTTGCCCAGGAATTAAGGTCAGCAATTGACCAATGGGATCTCATCAATGTAAAAGCTTGTGCACAAAAAAGGAAACAAACAACTGAGTGAAGAGGAAATCCATATCCTGGTAGGGTATCTTTGCCAGTTATACATCAGATAGAGGATTAATATACATAATATACAATGAACTAAAAAGTCAAGAAAACAAACGACCTGATTTTAAAAAATGGGCTATAATTTCAACAGAGTTTTCAAAAGGAGAAGTAAAAATGGCTATGAAAAATATCTCTAAAAGTGTTCAGCATTGTTAGCAGTTGGGGCAATGCAAGTTAAAACTACGACTTTGAGAGTTCATCTTACCCAAGTGAGAATGGTTAAGATCAAGAAACAATTAACAACAAATGGTGGCAAGGATGTGGGGAAAGGAAAACTTTCATCCACTATTGATCAGATTGCAAAGTGGTGGAGCCACTATGGAAATCAGTGTAGGAAATTTTGCAAAAGTCAAAACTAGATCTACTATATGACCCTTGGCATATACCCACAGGACTTGATATCCTACTACAGAGATACTTGTTCA